CTCAGTCCCGTCCCAAGGGACTCTCCCTCACAAAGTCTCAGCAACCGCGTCAAACCTCGGAGAGAACGCTGCCCTCGAGTTCCGACCGAGGCCAGTCAGTCCCACCTCTCCCGTCTGCGTCCCTAGCGACTCGCCCGGATCTGGAGCTCAGAGTCTGCGACTCCCTCCCGCTTGTTTGCGCCGCTCCCTCCGAGCCGCCGTCCGCGCCGCGCCGCCCCGCTCCTCGCGCACTCGTACCTCAGAATTTCACTTCAGCACTGCGCCGCCTCTGAGTCTGGAAATAATAATTCTCTTTATCCTAGTTGTAGAATTTCCACTCAGCCAGCCCTCCTGTGGTTCTGGATGTTGTCCGTTCCCTTTTTCAGGCTTAATTTGAATTGGTTGTTTAAGGCAGCAATCTCTGGCGTTAACCTATGCCACCATCTTCGGTTCTCTCTCTTCACTTATTTTAAGATAAGAAATTCATTGTTCATTGCAAACAGGAAGTTTTACTAGGGTGTATCATTTTTAAGTACTTAGCCTTTTGTTTCCCATAGTTAATCCACTGTGACTCCACCTCAATGCTTCTCTGTTCATGTAGTTCCTCTAATTGTAAAAGGAAGAAGTTACCATGCTTTAGTCTTTTTAGTGTAAACTTGAAGAGGTTTAAGTATTATATAATTTAATGATGTTCCATGTGTTCATTCAGGTCTCTGCTCAGAAATCTTTTTTTTAAAAAATATATATATTTTATTGATTTTTTACAGAGCGGAAGGGAGAGGGATAGAGAGCTAGAAACATCGATCAGCTGCCTCCTGCACACTCCCTACTGGGTATGTGCCTGCAACCAAGGTACCTGCCCTTGACCGGAATCGAACCTGGGACCCTTTAGTCCGCAGGCTGACGCTCTATCCACTGAGCCAAACCGGCCAGGTCTCTGCTCAGAAATCTTGTTATCTTAGTGCTCATCCCTCACTATCCTTTCTAAAGTAGCCTAATACCAACCCTAGCTGGACCTTTTTTTTTTTTTAGAATTGTAGGTTGGAAATAATTTTCCCTTAGTATTATTAAAAGTTTTGTCTTATTGTGCTCAAATACACATACCATAAAATTTACTATACTTATTTTAAAGTGTACAGTTCATTGGTGTTAAGTACATTTTATTGTTGTGCAACCATCACCACCACCCATCTCCAGAACATTTTTCATCATGTAAAACTGATAGCTCTCTGTGCCTTAGATTTCTCTTCTGTGAATGGGTGACTGATGTCAGAGAAGTAACCTCATAGGGTTGTGGCAGAGATAAAAACGGATACTATGTAAAATGTTTAGCCCAATGCCTAGTATATTGTATGTTCTTAAGAAATACTGACTGCTCTTGTCAGCATTAATTGTAGTCTGATCATTAAACAAACACTCCAGTAAATATATGTGAAAATTGTGATAAGTGCTGTGAAGGAAATGGGGAGGCCACTGAAATATTAAGTTACTGGGGGTGGGAGTGAGGCTGAGGGTTGCAGGGAGGGTCAGGGAATTCCCTGAAGAAGTAATTTATGAGCCTCTGAGAAAGGAAGTTTGGGTAGAAGGTAGTCAGTCGAGTGGTGGAGGGAAGAATCTTCCAGGTTGAGGGAATAGCATTAAGGAGGGCTCTGAGGTGTGAAAGATATTCACCTGCAGGAAACTAATAAGAGAGGGTCACGTGGTGGGAGTCTCTGGTGCTGAAATGGGAGTGATGGTTAGGGTTCAGGTTGAGGTATGTGTGTGGGAGTTATGTTAAAGATCCTAGAATTTATTAAGAACTCAGGTATTGAGTTCTTTGATCAAGTAAGTGACTTCGGCAGATTTCATTTTGTGAACAATGACTGGTTACTGTGTGGAACTTGAAGACCAGTTAGGAACCTGATACTGCATTAGACCAAATGAGAGCTGATAGTGGCTTGATCTAAGAGGGTTACATTGAAGCAGAGAGAAGTGAATGGATTTGACTTTCACTTCTTGCAACCTTCAGAACTCAGCGATGGAGAAGGAAGTGGCAAGAATTTTTGTTTGAACAACTAACTCGATGAATGAGATGTCATTGCTCAGACTGAGAAAAGCAGTGTTTTTTTGAGCCTTTGATTTGAAAAATGTAGTAATTTTTATTTTTTATTTAAGAAAATATTTTTATTGACTTTACAGAGAGGAAGGGAGAAGGATAGAGAGTTAGAAACATCACTGAGAGAGAAACATCTATCAGCTGCCTCCTACACACCCCTTACTGGGGATTGAGCCTGCAACCAAGGTACATGCACTTGACTAGAATCGAACCCAGGACTCTTCAGTCCATGGGCCAATGCTCTATCCACTGAGCCAAACCAGTTAGGGCAAAAATGTAGTAATTTTAGATTGTATTACTTTTATAGTTAAAAACTTGAAAATTAGCCCTGGCCAGTGTTGTTCAGTGGTTAGGGTGTCAGCCCATGTGTCAAAGGGTCGAGGGTTCGATTTCCGGTCAAGGGCATGTACTGGGTTGCAGGTTCTGAACCCTGGCCCTGGTTGGGGTGCATGCAGGAGGCAACTAATCGATGTTCACATCAGTGTTCCTCTCTCCTTCTCTCTCTCTCTGGTCTCCCCTTCCTACCTTCAGGCAAACACTGGTCGGATTTTTATCTCCATAGCTTAGTTTTGTCAGTTCTAGAACTTCATATAAATGGAATCATAGTATTTTTGTGTGTCTCTGGCTTCTTTCTTTATATTTTTTGTTAATCCTTACCCGAGGATATTTTTCCATTGATTTTTAGGGAGAGTGGAAGAGAGAGGGAAAGACAGAGAGAAACATCGATTGGTTGTCTCCTGCATGGAAGGAGCCTGTAACTGAAGTCCATAAACTTGACTAGAATTGAACCTGGGACCTTTTGGTCTCCAGTCAGATGCTTTATCCATTCAGCCAAATCAGCTAGGGCTGGCTTCTTTAATTCAATATAATGCTTTTGAGATTCATCTAAGTTGCATTTTATCACTGAGTAGCTTTTTTCAAACATGTCTTTTTTTTTTTACCATTACTTTATGAATCTGTTGCTTTGCAATACCGACATCATCAGAAATAGGGACAATTCATTCAGATTCAAATTTCAGTAGCAGGAAATAAATA